ATTGAGGAGTGAGCCAATGGATGAAGAGCTCACTGTTTCTAATCCTCTGCCTTTCAAAAAAAATAAAATCTGTTTTTTTAAAGAGAAGAAATACAAAACAGCAGTCAAAGTATCTGGCACCCTGGTGGGGCACAAATAGATGCTTCTGTTCTTAAATACTAGAGTGCATGAAGGAACATTATCTGGAATTACTGATGTAACTACTGCTAAAAACAGCACTTCCATGAAGCTCCCTCTGCATGCACATTTGCTGCTGCCCCACTTGGGGCTGAGACCAGACAGAAAAGAAGACGATCCATTCCCAAGAGAGACTGAACTGAGAACTGCAAACCACATCGCCCTGTCACTGGGAACAGTGTGGTGGGAGCAGCCTGGGTGGTGAGTGATGGGGACTTCCCCAAGGGGGTTCTGTGGTGTCCTGATGAAGAGGAAGAGGAGCGAGGAAGCACAGCATCTTTAAGGAAGGAGCTCTTGTAAGGTGTTGATAGAACAGTTTTGAAAAGTTTTTGTAAAAGCAGGACAGGTGACCATGCCAGCGGGAAGCTTTGTGTTTCACACTGCCGCTGCCAGAGAGGTGATGCCCAAGCTTGCTTGGAGGAGAGCTCTAAGCGCTCCTTACCAGGTGGACTTCTCCCACCAGCTGCAAGGTAGAAGCTGCCGGCGGCTACGCCCATTCTCCCTCCCAGTCTTTGATCTCAGCAGAGTAATCACCACGCTCCACGGCCAGGCTGTGTCCCTGGGCTAGAAGTGGCAGGAGGAGCGTTTGCACTCAGTAGTACACTGATAGCTGGCTCCCAGAGCCATCTCAACCGTAACTACCGTAGCAGGTGTCTAAGGAGCTCACCTAGGCTGCAGAGGCGGAGCTGCTTTTCCCCAGGGCCTGGGCTCCCGCCGCTGCTAATCCCGCAGGCTAAGGTTTGAGTGAGGTCACAGCAACGTATCCCTCCAGGGCCCACTCTCCCCCCTCCCCCGCATCCCTACTCTGGCCCCGGCCCCTAACATAACCAACACCTCGCCACCCTCCACCCTCCCTGCCCCGCACACTTTGGCCAGTGCAGCTTCTCTGATTGAGTGAGGGCGCGGCCGGGAATCCTGCTGGCCAAGGGTTGAGTGGACCATGGCTGGAGCAGCAGCCGGGTGCAGAGGGTGCCTGCCACGTGGCCTCTTCCGGCTGACGCACTGACTCACGGCCACTGTCCCCTCACGCCCTCTGCAATTCTAATGAAAAGGTTTCTAAGACACACCCAAGAAAGGGCCCAGTTTGCAGGCAATCTGGCCTCCAGGCGACTCAGTTAGAGACCCTACTCTGAGAGGTGTTTATTTCAGTTAGGGAAGGAAGACACTAACAGAAGCTTTTTTTTTTTTTTTTTTAATGTAGGTAAGGTACATTTATTTTAAAGGGAAATGGTTCTAGGAAGTATCATCCTATGAAATGTCCCATTTCAGTTCTTGCATAATAGCTTGATAATAAAGCCAAACAGAAAGAGTGAAATCATTTTAGAGACAAAACCACAAATTCTCGCTGTGCTTGTGGGTGACTTTCAGCAGAGTTAACAATGCAGATGCTGCAAACACACACACAGCAATGCAAACAGGAGTGAATGGGAGTCATTATGCGCTTCGCTATGAAACGGCCTGTAGCAATCAAAATTAGCCTGTTACAATTCTACCAAATTTTCCATCTGAGAAAATAGTACTTCAAAAGTAATTGGGGGGGGGGGGTTGGGGATCAAAACAACGCTAGCATGCACAGGAAGAGAAGGCAGCTTGCTGTGTATCAGGAAGTAGGGATAAATGGTGAAGCCAGACACACTTCTGGTCACAGACAGTGTGGACTGAGAGATTTGTCCCAAAGCCAGTAAGGATGCCAGGAGACCTTGGGGTGTCCTGGGTAGAGGGGGTTCCTGGGATGATTTGCCCCTGCTTTCTGGTCATGGGCAGGAGGTAGCAGCCCTCTTGGGGATCCCTATACTATGTGGCTGGTGCTGTGAGATTATGTGATGGACCAGAGTTCGGGCAAGGATGCTTCATTGCGGTGACGCAGCTGAGTTAAAGAAGAGGGCAAGGGTCTGCTAGGAAACTTTAAAAAAAAAAATTCCCAATGTATAAGCTATTTTCTTTATTTTTAAAATTTATTTTTATGAGAAAATCAGACAGAGAGAGAGGAGGAGAGGCAGAGAAAGACACCCCTCTCCACCTGCCAGAATCACACACTCAGAATTGCAAGGGATTTTAGATACCATCTTCCCAAGTGGTGGTGGTAGGGGGGGGGGATTCACCGGCATGTACAGTGCCTGCCCTGGGAGATTGACCCCTACCCCAGCCCTCACGAAGGTTCACCTGTGGAACATCCATGGCTTGGATCTTCTCTGTGCTCTATGCCTGAAGCGAAGCAGGAAGCTCAAGAGTAGGGCAGCGGAGGTCGGACGTGAAACAATGCCATGGTCAAGAGTGTGTTTTTAAGTGGCAGAGGGTAGGGACAGGCAAGGGACAACAACACCCAGGGAGGTTGGTCACCTGGGTGCAGCCAGGTCAGAAAAGGCCTGGGATTGGGTAGGGGGGGGTGATGTTTATTTAAACTTAGGAAACCAAGTTTCTGAGAAGGTGAAAAGGGGAACTTTCTCCTTGGCCCATACACAAGGCAGCAAGAGCCAGTATGGGTGCCCAGGACACAAGGTATGCAAGAGGGTGGCCTAGGGAAGCTGGCTGAGCCGGGCCTTGGAAGCGGGTAGACAAGCCTGAGCAAAGATCAGGTACTGTTGATCCTCCTTGCTTGGCCTGGGTTAGCTGTGTCCTCACCTTTTGGCATTTAGCAAATGCAAGAGGCTGTCCTGTGTCAGCTGCCCACTAGGCAGTGGCAATTCTGTCCAGCCTGGGAGGCAATAGCCCTAAGAGGTAGAACACCCGCGGGCCAGGCTTCCAAGGGCATCTGCGCTGTCCACACACTGCCCAAGACCGAGGTTTTACTATACCAAGGCAACTTGAAAAGCTGCAGGAGGGTTTGCGATCTTCCACAGAGGGCCAGGACCATGCCTGGGGGAGGGAAGGAGTTGTGTATGTGTGGGGTGGTGTGTGTGTGTGTTTGGGGGAGGTTGTCACAGAGGCCCCAGGTGGGTCTACCGCAGCTTGCAGAGGAGCGTGGTGGCAGGGTGGGAAGTAACCCCAGGGACCATCTCCTAGGCTGCTACAGGTCGCCCTGGCGGGGCGGGGTCCTGCTCTAACCACTAGACAGCCTGGCCCAGTTAATCATTTCCTGCCCTTCCTTCTTCCTCGCGCCCTGCCCTCGGGATTGCCACATGGCCGCCCCCTCCCCGGCCCACCTCCTGTCCCCGCGCGACTTCCGGCCGGGTTTTCCGAGGAGCCTCTACTTTGGAAGGAACACCAACTAGGGACACCCTCAAGGCTGTAGTAGCACCCGCCCCGGGCGGCCCCTCGAGGCTTTCCCAAGCCACCTCAGGACACCTGTCAAAGGGATCAGGGATGGAGAGCCGCAGCGCGGTGGGGATGGTCCAAGCTCGGCCCGTCGGGGGTCCCCGCGGCGGCCCATCTCCCTTCCCTCCGTGCAAACCCCCGGTGCTTTCACGTCCAGCAGGCAGGTGCGGGAGGTGACGCCGGGTCACGGGGAAGGGCCGAGGGGCAGGCTGAGGTCGCCGGCTCGGAACCCGACGCACCTGCCGAGAGCTAGAGCCGCGGGTCGCGGGGAGCACGCAGGCCTCCGCCTCTCGGGGCGCGACTCCTCGGTGTGTGTGTGCGTGTGTGTGCGTGTGTGTGCGCGCGCGCTCTTCGCTCCCGTCGCCCTCTCCACCCTGTGCTGTGTGGGTTTTAGTGGTTTTTCTACCGCCAAGTGAGACCTTCCTCTGCATCCACCCCCACCCAGTACCCGGAGATAAGTCTTCCTCTGCTGGACGGCTATGAACGCGGCGGACGGATCGGAGTGCCCAAGGCTTGGCACCCTCCTGTTGCCCCGGCCCCCTTCCCTCCCGTCCGAAACCCCTGTCTCCGAGCCGGGAAGCCGTGGCCCTCCTCAGAGCCGCCGAGTTGGGGAAGTCACTTCCGAGCGCCGCCAGCCGGCCCCGGGAGTGCCGGGGGGCGGGGCCGGGCGGGGAGGGCGGGGCCTCCTCGGGAAGGGCGGGGTCGGCCCGGGGAGGGCGGGGCCAGCCTGGGAAGGCGGAAAGCTGCAGTCAGGTGGTGACGGCAGAACCCGGATCTCGGAGTTCCACGTTCTACGGAACGGGGCGCAGGGAGGCGGCGCGCGGTAAAACCCGGCGCCCGGAAGCCCTGGCTTTCTTTGACGCAGGGCTCGGGAGGCGAGCCGCCGTCGGCCGAGCGCCCGGCGAGGAGCGACCCCAGACGGAACCTCCGGACGAGTCCCTCCGCCCCCCAGCCTCGCCGGCTCCCGGGGACCTCGGTCCTCCCCGCCGCCGCCCTCCTCGTGACCATGGAGTGTCCGCACCTCAGCTCCAGCGTCTGCATCGCTCCGGACTCAGCCAAGTTTCCCAACGGGTCCCCGTCGTCTTGGTGCTGCAGCGGTGAGTGCGGGCCCCCCGGCCCGGCCGCGCACCCGAGGCCCCGGCTCCTGTTGGGGCCTGTCCGTCGAGAGAAGGGGAGGCCGGGGGGCGCTCCGGGGCGGCCGGCGCGCGGACTCCGGGAAGGGTGGAGGGGACAGAGGAAGGGTTCGCGGGGAGGCGGGAGCGGCGGCGGCGGCTCCCTTTGTTTCCCCGCGGCCCGACGGCCCGGCCGGCGGAGGACAGGCCCGCGAGGGGCGGGAGTCGCCTGGGGCCCCGGGGCGCGCGGGGGGCAGCGGCGGGCAGGGGCCCCCGGAACCCGGGCCTGGGGGGAAGCCTGCCCGGGGGCTCGCGCCCCTCGCCCCGCCCTGCCGTGAGAGGGCTGTGCTCGGCAGGCCGGGGGTCCGGGGCCGTGTGCGCGCGGGTGAGGGGCGACTGTCCGGCGGCCGCACGCGTGGCGGGGGCCCGGGGTGCGACCCTCCGGGAGCCGGTGGGAAAAGCGGCGCTTAGCGGGCGCAGCTTTGTCTTGGGCTGCGGGGCCCGTCGCCGGTAGCCGCCTGCTTGGCGGTGTGTGTGTGTGTTTGGGGGGTGTCGGCTGACCCTCCCCGCTTCCTTTCCCTTCGCCTCGGGCTCCGGCAGCCCCAAACCCGGGTTGGCGCTGGGCAGCTTAGGGGGCGGCCCAAGTCGGAGCCTCGAATCCCTCGGGAGCGGGGGTTGGGGGGGGGGAAGAGAGGGTGAAGTTTGCAAACTGGCTGCGGGCAGAACCGGTCGTGAGAGGCGAGCCAACAGCTGCTGGAGGGGGTGGCTCGGAGGAGAGGCTTTTTGGGGCTGTCTGAAATGGCTGTAAAGACAGTTCCTGGGTTTGTGCGACCTCTTAACCCCTTCTGTCTGTCCGTCTCCCTCCACCACCTCCCTCGCAGCACCCCCAAGCCGGGGTACTCCTCTCTCATTGTCTGCTTCGGGCGACTTTTTAGGATCGCACGGGCCACACGGCTTTGATGACTTCCTGGTAGGGCCCGGGGCTGCCGCCGGTCTTTGTTTATTAGCTCCGAGTTGCTCGCTGGTGGTTGGGGTTTGCAGGGGAACCGCTGAATCGCGTACTTCGGAAAATTAAGTTCACAGGGAGAAAGAGGGAAAGCCGGCAAAGGGGGGCGTTTGAGTCTGGGGACTTGGGTCAGGGCCCGGGAGATCGTTAGACTGCGTTATCGCTTGGGATAGTTTGGATGGCCGTGGCCTTGGAGAAAAGCGGAGGTAGAGTTCTTAGTGTACTCTAGGATAACAGAAATGACTGTGGTTTCCCGGAGCTCTCAGGTGTTCGTTGCTTTGCTTGCCATAAGGAAATCAGCTATTTCCCCCCCCCCCCTTTTTTTTTCTTTCCGTCTGTAGCCTGTAAAAATTAACCGGTTAATTGGTTTCACAGTGCAGCATTGCAGTTCTTTTGTGAGGCTGTAGAAACCGGTCTAAATTAGCTCTTCGTTGACAAGTAGGGCTTCAACAGTGAATGGTGAGTGTGGAGCAAGCCAGGTGTGCCTTACTGATTGCTTGGTGGTACATTAACTAGAGCTGTGGTGCTGTAACTGGCAGCTTTTTTAAAACCCCCTCTCCAAAAGAGAGTTGGAAAACAACCAAAGTAAAGATTAGGGAAAGCATACTTGCTGTAGAAATAGTGTAGGTCATTCGCAGGCAGCTTCCAGAGCAGTCTGAGGACAGTTAGCACCCCTCTGGCTTTTTTTTTTTTTTTTAAAGGTAAAATCACATTCAACTGGAAAATGGCTTCACGAGGTACACGCGTCTAAAAAAAGCAGAGAATGATGCAAGTGGCCGCTTGTGAGTCAGGCTGGCCACGGGATTGTGGAGTAGAGATGTAGAGAACTGAGCATCTTTTGAGGAACTGGGGGAGTTAAAATAGGGCTGAACGGACAGCCTGGTGCTGAGGGAAGGAATCCTGTGGTGTGTTGAGCTGGCCAGGAGGGGTGGTCTCTCTCTCAGGTTAGGGTCGTTTTTTTCACACTTGGAGCAGGCCTTGCCTGACATTGCTTTGTAAGGATGCTTCTGACCCCTTGGATTTGTAGAAACAAGAAAGCTAGTTTCACAACTTTATGTGTGTGTGGGGGGGGTGTTATTTTTTTTTTTCTTCTGACCAAGCTCTGAATTGAACCCAGGTCATGTGAGCCTCCCGCTTTAGCCTGTTGGCCGCCATTTGTTGATGTAATCTAGTGTTATTGTATTAAGCTTGTTCTTGTCCTTGCTTGCCTGTTGTTTCAGTGATTAAATGATTAGTAAGAACTGTGAAGCCTTCATTTGCTCATCATCTTGGAGTGTTGTGTATTCTGTTTTTAATTTTTTTTTTCTTTTAACTTGGTGGAACTTCTTCATTCCCCCCCCCCCCCCATGGGGAAGCAAAAGGTTAACCAACATGTTGACTAATGCTGCAATTGGCTGTTGAATCTGGGTACTTTCCTGTTAAGTGAGGGGGTGAGGGAAAGTGGAGAAAAATCCTTGTTTTGGCACTGGGATGATACAAAGTAATGTCTTTGCCTTTTGTCTCTGCCAGTTTGCCATTACACCACAATGAGAAGGCCAAGAATGTTGCAAAAGACCAACAGCCTCAGTTCAGCCAGTTAAGCAGTACATCTTTGGACAGGTGGTTCTGTCTTCTTGGTATATCCGTTTCATTATGTCACCTGCAAAGAAGGGCAGTACCCATACTTACTCCGTAGGTTGTTGTTCAGGTGACCAAGGTAGAATGTGTGTGAAAACTGTGTGAAACTGATGGACACCTACAGCCATTCCTAGAGAGACGCCTTCAGCTCAGCCCATCTCCACAGAGAGCATTCTGAGTAATGAACTGAGTGAAGCCCTGCAGATGGGCCTTGAACAGTCTGGCTTTATGCTGAATTATGCTTTACGAGGAGATAAAGAACTCAACAAGATTAGAGTTTGGTTAAGAAGTAATTATACTTCAGAGTTAACTTGAGTTTCTTATCCATGGAAGTCACTGTGTTAGGTTATGTAATCGTGTACTGCACTTCTTAAACTTTGTTCCCAGGACCTCTATTGCACTCTTAAAAATTCCTGAGAATTCCCTGGGCTTTCGTTTATGTCTCTTAAAACCATTGTCTTAGGCTGTTTTAGGAATGAAAGCTTGAGAGGCTGGCATTGGCATGGCACATTAAACCACTGCTCACAGTGTCTGCCATGGTTTTGATTGCTCTGCTTCTGGTCCAGGTTCCTTAGGGTGCTCCTGGGAAGACAGACTGCGCATGTGCTTGTATCTCTGCTGCTCATGTGGGAGATCCGGTTGGTGTTTTTGGCTCCTGGATTTGGCCTGGCCCAAGATCTAACTGCTGCCCCTTTGTGGAGTAAACTAGTAGATGGACAATCTCTCTTTTTCCTTCATTCTTCCTTTCAAATAAATATTAAAAAAAAAAACTTGAAACCAAAAATTTATTTGCAAATACAAAGACAAGTATTCATTAACATAGACATTTACATAAAATGTTTTTCAATATAATAGTGAAGAAATAGCATTTTTAAAAAAATTTGCAACTCCTTTTGTTTAGCTTGATAACTGACAGCTGGATTCTCCTATCTACGGCTACGTGCCGACGTGCTGTCTCTCAAAGTATAACACTTGATGTAGCCTCTGTAAAACTCCATTGCAGGAAAGAATGAGAAACAATAAGATAACATCTTCATATTATTTATGAAAATAATGGTGACCTTTTAGACCCTCTGAAAGGGTGTTGTAAATCCTTTTGAAATGGTGTACAACTGTTTTAACAACCAGGTAGGGACACCTGCTCTCATCAAAATAGCTTTTAAAGATTAGAGCAATCCTATGACTTTAGGACGACTGGTAACAGTTATGGGTTTGAAGAGACCTGGGATTTTTGCCCTGTATTAACTGGGAAACACATCATGGAATCTAGGAGTTCTTTCAGAGACAAATCTAGTTTGTTTGGGGAGAGACAGGAAGCTAATTGCTCAGAACATAAATCCTTAAACTTTTGTGGTTTAAGGTAGACTGTTGAAAATAGCAATACCTAATAAGGTAAACGTTGATTTGTATCTAATTGTTGCTAAAGGCATTCTACTTTTAAATGAAAAGATTTTAAATAGAAATTAGGACATCCTCTAAAGATTTTGCTGTATGCACAGATGTTACTTTCAGAAGCTGGAGGCTTGGGCATTCCTTATTTTTGCGGGTGAAAGAGTTTAAGCTTTAACAAAATACAGGGGGCAGGCAACCCAAGTTGTTAAAAAAAAAAAAAAAAAGAAAAGATTAAAAAAAGCCGTGAACACAGCTGTTTTAATAGCTAAGGAAAGCCAAAGACCAAGCCTTCAGACTTCAGGGATTTGGGTTAAATGATCAGTTAAATTTGAAGTATTTTAATAGCTAGCAAATTTCCTTGATTAATTTTTTTCAGAGTTGAGTGTCTCTTTAAGATTTTAATGCACACTGCCATTACATTAGCCACACAAAGTAAGTGTAGATCAAGTAAATTTTCTGTAATTTTGAGTGGATATTGGAGGTAGCACCCCCTTATTAGAAAGATCCTCTAAGTAAGATAAGGAGCTGCTTTTTCTTCACTCAGTGGGAATAGATTTATAATGGGTTAATCATCATGATGAAAGAGATCGGCTTGAGAGAGTGATGTAGTATTTTGTGTTGTATTTCTCTCTCAGCCTACCTCTTGTTTGCCCAGGGATCTCAGGTTTTTAGATAGGATCAGCCCTTTGTTCATCATTAGGTCAAATGTATTTAGAAACATTGTATAAAGTGTTTATTGAGTGCCTAGAACTTAGAAGGCACACTAAGTAAATATTTGCTTGGTGAATGAAGGAACTTTCTATCCTGGCTGGACTAATCTTTAACTTTATGTTCAAAGTAAATGCAAAGAAAGTGAGCTTTCCCAGCTCTCACTCTCAGTAATTTAGTCAGCAAACTGCTTGGCTTGTAAGCAAAGGACCATCTGTTACGTTGTTTCCACATGGATTTGTGTTCTTTTGATATTCTGTGTTTATAGATGGGCAGGTGGACATTTCAGTTGTAAATGTGGATGGAGAGGTGATGCTTTCTTCACCTTAATTCTGAAGATCAGTATTTGAATTTTATATACTTTTGTAAAGAATTTAAATTTGCGGTGTAGTGTTTACGAAGCCTAAAAGACAAATGCGGTTGGCTTTCCAGTCTGGTTGGCAGTGTGCTCCCGGAATTGAAAGCAGCCTCAGCCTGTTTCCAAAGTCTCTAAATAATTGGTAGTGAATCTGAAACACCTGAAATTTATATAAAGTGTGTCTTGTGTTGTGTTAGAAGCTTTGAATCTAGCAATTGAATCTAAAATGCTGCTGCCGTGAAAGTTTTGACACGTTGATTGGAATTGTTCCTAAATAGTATTCTTAGTAATATGTAAAAGACATTTCTCATGACCCAAGTATCGGAAAGATAGAATTGGGGAAGGATTTGGACACTCTGGCATCCTGTTATTCACTTGGCTTTCAAAATAATTCCATCTCCTGTGTGTGTGTGTGTGTGTGTGTGTGTGTGTGTGTGTGTGTGTGTGTGTGTGTTTCCACTGTTAGCCTTAGGCTCTTAAGACTTCCTACATTTCCCTTCCTGAAATTTATGCAATTTCCTTCTCTACTGGAATATAAAAGATTGATTTTGAATCCTTCAAACTAGATTTAGAAATACTTATGTTTTTATAGTGCTTGTAGCACAGTGAATAGACCAACAATAATTTAGTTTCTAGCTCCATGGGTAATTTAAATTCCTGTTTTAAAATTTAATTGAGTCCCACTTCCATCAGGGAATAATCTACATGCACATTTCTCCTTAACTTGCCTTTTTTTTTTCTTTTCAGTTTCCCCTTTATTGAACCTGTCTTTGTGTATTTTTTTCTTGACTGGAAAAAAAAATGTTAGTCCCCTTTGATTAAGCTGTATTTTCTTACCGCTTACCTACAGGTTTTGTGTTCAGCCTGGGCATTAGAGTAGACTGAGTAGCTTGGTAATGTCCAAAGTGCATAAAGTGCACAGTTTAATATGGTTTAGTGTTTTGTGTTTTACTCACATCCTCTTTAGACAGAGCAATTGCGTTCTTGGTGCTTTAGTAGCGCTTTCCTGGGCAGATGGTTCAGAAGGAAGTACTTTGATGGCTTCCAAATAGGGGCTAGTAATTTCTGGAGGGTGTTTTTTGTGATGAAGCTTACTGTGATTGACGGTTTAGAATGCCGAGACTAGCATGAACAACAGTAACAGCTTGTTCATCTCACCTAGAATTGCCTTGTGCCAAGACCTCTTAAGATGCCCTGAGTGGTACTATTTTGAGAATGTAGGTAAGATTGTAGGTATCTGAGACAGAAAGGCAGCTCTCCTACACTTTGTTTCAGTTGTTTCTTGAAATTCTTGGGAAAGTTGAGTGAATGTTGGCTTAGAAACTTGTAAAAGAGATCATCTTTTTAACTGCTCAGTCTGCAGATGTTATTATCTGTAGTAATT